CCCCCCCACGGTCACATTCCTGGACTCCTCTGTATCAAAAGACGCAAGACAATGAGGATAGTGGATGTACGCACTTGATCCAGACGCATGAGCAGAGGCCGCAGTCTCCGCCGGGGGCTTTGTGTCAAACGAATACTAGTAGCCAGACAAGATTACATGAAACTTTTTTTTCTTTTTATAATCCCACATGGGCCCAAAACGCGGCTCAAAAAAAGACACACTTGATAAGTGAAAACCCCCAAATGGTCGCACAACAGTGAGGATGCTGAGTGTGTGGAGGCGCATTTGGTGCGTAATTACGGGAGTTAATTAAGAAACTGGCCATCAGATTTGACGCTGTATGATGGTGGATGCCAATATTATGATAATTCTGTTTGATTTAGTCATGAATATGAAATCAAAACCAAAAGAAATTCAACATTTCGATTATTAGTTTCCATAAGAGCATCCGTGCTTATTCACGACCACGTCTGCTTTTCATCTCTCAGAGGGTGGAGACAAAAAAACCTGCATCGTGTCATAAAGGGGAGGGTCTTGGTGGCAGTATATGTTTTTAGAGCAGGCATGTTTCAAGTTCATATTGCATCTGACGGCGAGGGAATGGCGAGTGCGAGGGGGACGGCGCGGAAAGGAGGGGGAGAGACGAGGGGGGGAGAGAGAGGCGAGATCCACCTCCGCGGGAAATAATGGGGACGATAATAAAAAAACAGGGGGGGGGGGAACCCGTCCGGGGGAAGCTGAATGGATGGAGCCAGAGAGACGTCACGGCGCACAGCCGCAGCCATGAAGACGGAGCGGTCCAGCCTCCGGCGGCTCAGTCGGTCTCCATCTCCCGAGCTGCTCGCTTCTCGCGGACGCTGCAGCGACTCGCAGACAACGGTGTGAGTATACGAGGTATAAGCCTGTTATTTCTTCTTCAATGGGAATGGGGGGGTGCGAAGGCAAGGTGCCGAATATGGGCTAAATAAACGGAAGAAAAACTGCACACATAACGGAGCGGGATGCGTGTATGTGGCAACCAGCGGGCGAATATGGGCGATGAGTGTTTGAGCAGCAGCTCGAAATGTTCTTATTTCAGCATCTTTTTTATTCCCGCCTTGATGCTCTGATGAGCGTAAAGCTGGAGGTGATGTTTCATTCAGAGTGGCAGCTGTTGGCAGAGCATACGAGGAGGAAACACACAATATGCACGTTTTGTCTGCTATTTAACGTTCTATTCAAACTGCATGAAAAGGCTTTAAAGACAGATTATTTCTAGTTCATTCATTCTCTCGTGGAGGGGTGGCCGGACGGAGCCCGGGCCCCAGCGAAAGGTCACAGATGAGCCAAACAAACCCGCTCGTCTGGTTAGATGATGAAACGCATCAGTGAGAGAGCAACTTATAATTATCAGACGTGGTTTTGGCTCCGCTTTGAGGGAGAACGGCCTCAATGACGCATTGTTGCACGGGCTTTCGTGTGCGCCATCCACGGGGAGCCACAGAGGCCAAAAGGCAGCCCTGATATCAGTCCTCACACACCTCCAGGCACCCAGCAGGGTCACTTCTGCGGCTCGGCTCTGCTCCCAAAAAACACCCACCCGATACGACACGATCAGGGTCTGGGGACCAAGATAGAAACCCCCGTTTTGTGTGTCCAAATTATGCCCTTGCAGGACTCTGCTCAGATATGGAGGATTATCAGCAGACAGGCCGGCAATGCATGCGTAATAAAACAAAGTGGTGGTGTTCACACCCAGAGCTGGGCGGATCCACAAGGCCAAGTATCCAGTCCACACGTGTGCACCGAGTACGGAGCCTGTGCCGAGAACACGTGTGCGCCCCTCGGGACACACCGGGTGGAGAGTAAACCGGGTCCGTGGAGCTTTTTTGGGGGGAGGAGGGTTGAAGCAACAAAAAACAGAAACTAGGATTATGCAACGTTTCACATGATGAACATGAGAGTAATATTGTGCACGCACGCAGAGGGTCAATGCGAGAGGAGAGGAGAGGGGGGGGTAGAAAATGAAAAGAGCGGTTGCAAAATCAAAATCATGTTTTTATTACCTTTCAAAATTAAAATAAACAATTTAATGTTTTAATTTATTGAACTAGTTGCACCACACAGACGGAGCCAAAGCTTTTTGTGCCATTGCAGTGTGTTTAAAGAGGGATCATCACTGATCACTGCTGTATGTTGTGCGTTTTTATTATTGTGACAATCCTCAACTCTAGGAAAATAAATCTTGTGCAGTTTTATAAAATCAGCAACTTGAGGTCTGCACCCTTTTTACGCCTATCGCCACTGACTTTAAAGAAAGAAAAAACAAACACTTTCCCTTGCTGATTGTCTCTACTGTTCAAAAGAAGGCTGCAGTATGTAAAAAAGGAGTAATTTGGCTCCTCCGCGCTGTGCAGACCATTTAAAGAATAAAACGATGGTCTCTTTTTTTCCAGGGATCCCTGGAGAGGCATTCAGCGGCCCGACAACACGTGGCTTACTGTATAGGTAATCAGCTCCCACCGTCACACATCACACACAGGCTTCCGTATAGTCACGTCGGATATTTTGGGAAGTTTGAGGAAATAATACAATTTACATTTCAAGAAATAATAACTACATGATATATGATGGAGGTGCATAGTTGTTAAGCTAATACAGTTAAACATATGGTTCGGATCTTACGGCAGAAGAGTAATTATGTGTAAAAACATGAAGATTTAAAGACGTATCGTGAAAACAGCCACAGTTCAACACATCACAATGCCCAACATTATGCAATTATTTTATAAAATCCATACCATATCGGGGATGTTCAGTAGCTTCAGTATATTTACACAGGACGTGTGGAAAATGTATTACGTGATTTCGACAAATCGTAATTTTCAGCTAATTAGCTCCACACACTTCAGTGTGGCCGTGAACACTCAAAGTGTGTGTGTGTGTGTGTGTGCGTTTGTGTTCATCAGACTCACAGTGTGTCTGCACACATGCCTACACAGTCAAGTCACTGTTCTTCGTCCATTCTGGTTATTTCAAAAACACACTTATCCACCTTTAAATATCGCTTTGACGTGCGTAATATACTTTCTGTCGTGCGTAAAACTCACGCGTAATTGCTTTTCTTGCCTCAAAACGCAGCATTCAAGCTGATAATTCAACCTGTTTCATAAAATGGCGTGAGATTAAATGTTTTTTTTTTTTTTTTTTTACCACGTGGTTTTTATCAGAAGATAACCAACGCGACTTCATAATAGGATTTTTTTTTGCTAATGAGCTCTGTACCTTCGCTGTAATTATTTCCAATTAGAGGCACCGGATTTGTTGACGTCACGCACGTTTTGGCCAATAGCACAGCCTGATGATGGTTTGGAGAGAAAGAACTATGAGCTCGACTGATGCTTTGAATGTGTGTTTGGATTTTGTCTGAGCTGAGGTGAGTTGAAGAAAAGAGGCGGCTGTGTGTGTGACACCGCGAGGCTCTTTTGGTTTAAACTTTTGCAGATCAGAGACACTTTAAAATCTCCACATGCTTAATTTTCTGAAGTCACAGCGTGAATAATTCCTCGGGTGAAATGTATCGTGAAAAGCGAACACTGTGGGGTTATAAACCCAGAAGACGATTGTTGAAAGCAGTGTTAAATGAAGGGACTATTAATGATAATGGGGGGAATAAGTGCAATCTGCATGTAATTATCTTTCTCTTTATCCAGCTTGGAAATCGTGAAAATACATCTGATCTAAAAAAACAAAAAACGAGTCATAAAGCTCACAGCAACAGTCTGCAGCGATTGGAAATGTTAATGTGAATATTGCATCATTCCCGTTTAAAATAATATTGTGATGAATTACTGATGAGTTTGAACACCAAAGTGATTGATGAGTTTTTTTAGCAAAAAGTAAATTAAAACACGTTTTTTAACGATTTTCAAATAAAACAAATATTGGATTTTTCAAAATGTTTCAAGTTATTAATGTACCTTAAAATACTATTAAAAATATTACTGAAACCATTATGTAAATAAGGCAATTAAGGTATTTTAATATTTAAAAAAAAAAAAAGAATTATTTGAACTACTATTCCACCTAACTGAGCTATTTATGAAGGAACCATTGAAGGAAGATTTTTTTTTAAATTCATGACTGCAGCTGCACAAATGTGTGAGTGTGTGTGTGTGTGTGTGCATTTGTAAGCCTGCTTTCTAAAATCGTCTGCAATTATGTATCTAAACGTGAAAAGTACATTAGCTACGTACGCGCGTGCGTGTGTGTGATCCAGTGCTATAGCATTCTGGGAGCTGAGGCATGTTTCTGCTCTCGAAGGGCCTCACTTTGTCCTTGTGGATTGAAACAAAGCACCTTGACGAAGATCGGTGTTAATGCGACAGCCTTCTGAACGGGCAACAAAACACCTTTCTTTTTAAAACACTACATAGATTCAGAGAGTAGAAGAAGAAAACCAGGTGCTTAGTGTAACCTGGAGGGAGAACAATGCCAGAGGGATTTGCTGTTTGCTAACGGGGATGTAGCCGTCTCTGCTAACGCCTGCATGTTGCCAGTCAAGTCTTGTAGTTTGATTGTTCAGATTTGTGATGGAGGGGCGAGAATATTCTGTGCCCCCCCCCCCCTCTCTCTCATTCTCCCTCAGTATCTCTCCATCTCTCCCCTCTGCTCTGTCAGTAGACCTTTACTTGGCGTTGGTGTTGGTGGGGGAGGAGCCTGCCACAACAGGGATCTGGGCACACAGAGCAGCTTTAATTAGAAGGGGGCCTTGTGCCATGTGCCACCACAGCGTGTGAGAGGAGTGTGTGCTGCAGCATTGTCTCTACCCGAACATGTGAGACAGAGCTTTGCCTGCGTTTTGCTTTATTTTTTCTGTATTTCTGTGGACACATGTGGGCGTGAAAGGATACGTCTATGACATGTGCTTCCCGCTCCTGTACGTCTGGGTGGGTGCGTGTTTGCATTACATCACTGTTTGTGTATATTGTAAGGTGTTTATATGCGTTTTAAACGCCTCTATCTTAACTTTGGTGCCAACCCTTGAGCGCAGGCCCGGCTTCTTTGGCATCAGATAATGTAAATGAAGACAAACCAGTTTCTTTTGTAGTCAAACAGCCGGGATCTTTTAATTTAAAAATGCATTTGGGCCGCGGCGGGGGGGCGGTGTTTGAAGCCATCACCCTCCTATGGAGCCAGTCAGCGGGTGAGGCGGACGCGCCATAGGGATGGGCGCCGGGCCGTAGAAGGGAGGGTTGGCGCCATAGCCGTTTTTTTTATTGGTGCCTCTCGCTAATTGTTTGACTTTGTGAGGTTTTTGATATAGAGGCCTTACTTGCGGACCAATCAAAGCTTTCTGTACACAAAGGGAGGCTTCCGATTGGCTGAGGCGGTTTGAGGCGGGGTGAGGGGCCACTTGGTGACGTCACAAAATGAAGGGGTCAGGACATTTAAGGGCCGCTGTAGGTTGAGTGAGGGGAAAAAAAAGCCCAGAGGCAGAAGAGTAACGTCTTTGTTCAGAGTTGGTGTCAACTGCTGTTTTCTTTTCGGGGATTTCTAGACTTTGCTGATTATTTACATTAATTCTAACACTCTACCAAGTTAGTCTGTGATCATTCAAATCATGTAAAATTAAAAGACATGTAATTATGTTTGTATCACCAACTTTCTTCTTTGCTTGCAGGTCAGAACTTCGGCCATGTCACTACGCCCGCGGCTTGAGAGGATGGGTAGCCTTAGGGGTTGGTTGTTATCTTTGGTTATCTAGCTGTATGAGTGATGTACATTCTTCATAAAGCTAGATAACCGAAAGTAACAAGAATCCCATTACACTCCTGAAAAGGCATCAAGACCCCAAAACGCGCTTCCCTCCAAAAAAAAGCACAAACTGCCACAAGAACTGCAAGACAATGAAGAAAATGGACAAAATTTAAAAGGAGTTGGGACCTGAATGCTGCAAAAGGTAGGTTGCTAGTTATGTGTGTGTGTGTGTGTGAGTGAGTGCATATAGGTCCACATGGCCTTTTAATAACTTCACTGTGAGACTGTCTGTTTTTGCCGTTTCGATCCATCGACATTTAGAAATGTAAGATTATGGTTGGGAGGCAGGTAGAAATAAATGGCACATTGCCGTACATATTGCGTACAGCTCCCTGCAGCCAGTGGCAGTGATCCATAGCAGTACGGTTGGTGCAACAGGATCACTTTTAATCTAATAAGCCCCATGATCCTTGTGTGTGGGGGGCTGCATGCAGGGGCTTAGCCATAGTATCACATGGCTGGGAGTGACGGGGCATCACTGAAAAGGACCCACACTGATTCACCAAAGCCGGTGGACTTTGACAAGTCGTTTAACAAGTCGCTGTTAGCTAATCAGTTTTTGCTAGCCAGTTTGGTCAATGCTTTATTCACATGAATTTCAGCTTTGCCGGGTTGCATCTTTGGCATTAAGAGAAGATGCAATATGAGAAGAATCGTGGGCCTTTTATATCACAGGAGCCACATACGGTGCTATGAATTATACATATGTTCCAACTTGGATGGGATTGTGTGAGTTAAGAATGCTCCCTCCGAGTTAATCCGGGCTCCCAACTCCCCGCCGGCACCTCAGCGAACAGACAAGAATTTGTTTGAGGCCAGTTTTGTTAAGTTATCCGTTGTTGATTTTTTTTTTCTCCTTCCCACCTACTCTTTTCTCCCTTTTGCATGAAAAGATGTTTGATTTGGGGTCCTGGCCGTTTTTTGATTTGACGTGACAGTTGGCTTCTTTGTGAATGGGCCGTGGCAAAGCCTCCATTGCGTGAGGTGCTACCATGTGGAAAAGGCCCCGATAGGATCTCACTGAATGCTGCTTGTGTGTGTGCTTGCAAGGCTCCAGAGGGGAGGGGGGTGGTCCAGGGGCAATCAAGCAGAAAGTGCCCCCGGTGACGAGATCCATGAGCGAGAAGAGAACAATCTCAGCCCTAAGGTTCTTTGCCGGAGCTCATGGTGAGGAGTAATTGGTCAATCAGATCTCCAACCTCAAGGCCTCTGATGGCTGATTGAAGGTGTGATTTCTTTCCTGCCCATCAAAGCTAGAGGGTCGCTCCTGCTGAGAGAGACCGTTAAGGATTGTCCCCAAGGTCTCAAGGCTTTGGAGCTACACGGCTAAGCGGTGAACTCCAATTGTAATACATATTCCACATGGCGGTTTGCTGTCTCAACATGGCTCGGCTAAAGCATCAACCCTGGAGTTTGGCTATATTCAGCTTGACATGGTACAAAGTCTAAGCAGTTGTGCAGGGCCAAAGTGAAATTCCCTAAAAGCTTGCGCGGCAACCTCACCTCGCGATGTCAATGTGTCTGCCTGTCTGCTGCATTGCAGGTGCTGAGTGTGACATTTGAGCTCTGGGCTCAGCTCAGTAAGAGAGAGGAACGAGGGCCTTGACGGGAAGTGACAGCTGGAGATGTCACCTTTTTGGATGGGGAAAGTAGTACCCGGTTCCCTTTCTACTGTGCTGCTGCTGACTTGTTTTTATTACAGTGTAGACTTTGTAGCATGCCGTGGCTTTGATCTGTTACTGTAAATGATAGATTGAGGATTGTGCCTGACTAATATCCGAACACATGCACGTCTGAGCCGGGTGCATTTACGAATTTAACAGGTGCACGTTTTGAGCAGTGTAAAGATAAGTTGCCTTCTTTTTTGCTGCCTTTTTTTGTGTGTCAGTTACAGTATTGTAGCTAAATGGGAACTGAAGTCTTGGACAGATTGTGTTTATACCCTAAGCAGTGCCCTGGGAGACACATGTCATGGTGCAAAATGCTTTGTACTGCCTCTGTGTGTGGCACAGTTATATCACGAGCACTTCCCACTGGGGACCCCAGAGCAGAGACTATCTTAGCTTTCTGCCTTCCCCGAAAATGGCATGGAGATCGGAGAGTTCCTAAAAGCCACCTCAGGGCCTTTGGTCTCTCTCTTTTTTTCTGTGTCCCATGGCGGAGTTGGAAATAGAAAGAGTGTGCGAAAGCAGGGAGGGGTGCAAAGAGGAGGCGGAGGAGGGAGGTGGGTTTGTCTTAGCAGCAGATTTAGACTCTAAGTGTCAAACAGAAAAACAGCCATTGTGGTCGAGTCCTACTCGCCTCCCCACCAGTAGACTTTACAGTCAATAGAGCTAGTCCACTTGTCACTGAGGGACAATGCGCCCCTTTGCCTCCCTTTCACCCCCGTCGGGTCCGAGCAGCCAGACAGTTTTCTGAATAAGACCCAGTGATTCTTGCCCCCTTTTCTTTCTCTGCCTCTCTTTTTACTCAACTGAACACACCAATGGGGTTTGGAAAATGGCTTCGCTGTTGGGCCGGAGCAGAAGGCCAAACCCGAAGGCCAGACCCTGTTATTTTTTCGGTATTCCCTTCCACCCCCCAAGTTGCAAAAGTCAATGGGCCTTGCCAGACAAAGGAGATTAAGTTTGGCAACGTAGCAGTAACAGGTGTACTTTGACTGTGCTCGGACCACACGGGGGTTTGACTGCTGTTGTCTGACCCATCGCTCTGTTTGCCTCCCTGTTGGTTTTCAGTTAGCGCGGAGATGAAGACGAAATTTGCTTTGTATTGTCAGATGTCGAGAACGCTTCAGACCTTGTCGATTTAGAAGTTTTAGTCAAGACCGTGTTTGGCCCAGCTGTCTAGCACTGGCCTCTCCATCATTTCTCACTGCTTTTGAAAACGTAGCTCAACTTCTGCAACATTTCTCCAGTAATTTGCCAAGTTTTTCCTCCAAAAGGGATCCTGCAGATATCTTTAGATCTTGAGCTGTGCTCACCCAAGGGAGCGAGTTAAGGGTAAACAATGTGGGCACACAGAGGAAGAAAGAAATATCAGAGGGAGTGCGGCATGGCACTGAGGCATGAATACATTTTCACATTTAGAACGGAGACAGTGATGTTTTAAGAGGGGAAATGTCTTTCAAAGAGAAACGAGTGAAGCCTTTTCTATCCATACCTTCAGTATTCCCAACCACGATAAATCGAGCCATTCAGCAGTATATAAACAGACACTCTCAGAGCCAGAGCAAAACAGTGCACGTATTTGTTTGCTTCAGTCGTTAATAAAGCTTTTACCGAGAGGCTCGGCCCTCAGAAAAAAGCCCATTCTGGTGAAATGACTTGGCAAAGCATCCGATGAAGGGTCTGTTCAGACTGAAGCTGCTCCCGCTGCCATTGTCTAGTTCTCTCTCACACACCTACGAGTCCAGAGTAAGCACACAATGTCATTGTTGCGTGAGCTGTTAATATCAGAGGCTTCACAATAGAGCCCATTCGCCATATTTGCATAAGGCACTTTTCCAACAAGGACCCGGAGAGGGCTTGAAAGCTGGCCCACTCCAGTGCCAGTAGCAAAAAAATGTCAAGTGCCAATTAGGAGAGGTTTGCCACCATTCAGCGGTACCCCACCCCTGTTAGTCCTTCTCCTCCCCGCTTCCCCACCCCAACTCTCTCACACTCCGAGTCACCCCTGTTTTTACCACCTTATTCCAATTTCAGACGTAGCCTTCCCCTACTGACACCCAGAGACAAAAGCTGGCTCCCTCCTCCGCTGGCTAATGGAGGATCCTTTCTGCCGGGGCTCAGAGTATTAGCAGAATCAGAGAGCGTGCTCTGTTCGCCGATTAGTCAGCTTTCTTTGTTGATTTCTTTCAATAGATAGGGTTCACGAACTATGCAGCTAAACCTGCGCGATGTAGACCTCCACCTGCTAGTGAATATTGAACCTGGCAAGCTGGCTACATTGTGCTGTACTTTGGTTTTAGGCTCCGCAGGTTTCCATGTGCAGGTGTGAGACGAGGGATGGATTTTGGAAAAGACAGATGCTGATTTCAAGCAATTAAAAATAACCCCTTTTCATCCGATATCCAAAGTGGTCGATCTGTGTTCGTGCTACTAGCATTTAGCCACCTAATGAGTAGCTTTAAGCTAGTCCTGCTTATTTCTTTACACTGATGCAGATACAAATACAGAGCATCCTATTGATGAGAATGGCTGCAGTGAGAGAGTATTTGAATTGAGAGCACGGGCTTCGAGTCAGCTGTTAAGAACTGCACAATAACACTACATCAGGATTTACCGTCACATTCATGTTAGCTTAACTGCCGAGCGTAAACAGTGCTGAACAGCTGTTTACAGTTCTACCAATGCTGAAAAAATGCTGCATTATTTCCAGCGATGTTTAACTGCGGATGCAAAGAACGAGGTGACAGGAACGTAGAGCATCATCGGTGTAGTTGAGTTTAAGTAGTGTGGTGTTTACATACAGGTATGCCTTTCGCTCTAAAAGGCAGACACCTCGCGTAAATTAAAGAAACCTGGTGAATGAAATTAAAAAAATTAAGTCGTAGACGCGATAAAAGGAGGTAATCGTGTTTGTCCGACTTGGCTAGCGTTGTTCTCCACAGAGCATTTACCTAACTTACCGCCTCCTGCCACTCAAAAGGATTTTTTCTCTTGTCCCCTTTTTCTCTTTCATTCTTTCATTCAATCTCTGTGTCGAGTTTTTTTTTTTTTTTCTTTCCCACCCTTGATTCTCAGATGGTTGGATCTGATTTGCATGCATTTGCATAATGAAAGTCATTTGCATGCTCAGGGGCAGACTGTACCATGAGAACAGACATGAAAAGGTGTTGGTGTGTGTGCGTGTGTGTGTGTGTGTGTGTGTGTGTGTGTATACATGCATTCACATGCATGCATAGTTTGCATTCATATGCCTCCATGAACTATACAAGTGCGTTTTCAGGATAGTCATCATTTTGCCTTCTTGCCCTCTGATTTTTTATTCCACGTTTTTCTGTGCAGGCTACCACCAACCACACCACTGAACGAAAGCTGGCAGAAAGGAGACTGAAAAACAGAGAAGAAGGAGGAGGAGGGGTTTCGGTTGATTCTGCCCTCCCTCTCTTTTCGCCCTCCTCTGCATCGCCTCTTCCCTCCTCCTCCTCCTCCTCCCTTCCTCCTCTGCTCCATCCTCAGCAGACTGCCCCCTTTTTCCTGTACAGCGAGACGCAGCCCCGCGCCACCATCTTAGAGCAACGCTGGCATGAAATGGAAGTGGAAAGACCAGTCAGTGCAGGTAACACACCAAAAACCCGCTGCGCCCGCCATGCCGCGTCTTTCCACCGGCGCCAACCCCGACACTCCATCCTCTCCTCCTCCTCACCTCCCTGTTCGCTCCCTTTCTCCAGCGGGCGATAGCCTCCGTTTTTAATCACCTCGGATGTGTTTGTTAATTGCACGATTCACAAGATGCGCTGATGGGTAGGGGGGGATGGTGGTGTGGGGGGAGAGTCGATGTGGGCGGGGCGTGTTTTGTATGTGTGTTCACATTAAATCACTCTGCTCAATGCCTCTCTCAGGAGGCTTTCAGTGGGCATCTGTCCTCCGAAGCGCCATGTTTTCTTTCGACGTTTGGGAATTCTCATGCCCATCCCCACACACGTGTGTGTGTGTGTGCCCTGACATGGCGGCGGCTGCCATTTTGGAGACACGATGCAAGTCGTGCCTTCTGGACAATAACAGAGGCAACAATTCATAACTCTGCAGAACACGCTAGGATTTGTGCGCTATATTTTGGCCACAGACGTAAAACAAAAGTGGTAGTTTTTAAATTATTATTTCTTTTTTTGCAGTCTGCTCGAACAGACTTCTGACTTTTAGATTCATTCTGAAAAACCTCTTCTGTTCTTCTTCAACTCCTTAAATTGATGTCAAGGTGGGCACATCTGTCGAGTGCAACGTGATGATATCCATGAACCACTCGCTTATCATGTTCTCATAGAGGGGCACCGCAGTAGATCAACACGAAACAGGCGAGAGAGACGGAGAGAAATAATAGGGAAGAGATGGAGAAGAAGTGGGACCTCGATAGGCAGAGTTTCAGCACTGGAAAGCCTCTCTTTGTGCGAGTGGCGAGCGTCGGAGGGCAGTCGGTGCTCAGACAAGTCGAGTATTGTTCTCCCCGAGCGAGCTCGTTATGGTGCGGTGTTATTCCAAACGGAGGAGCTACCAACTTTATGAAAACCGCTTAAACCAAAACACCAATTAGCATCGGCCGGGCCTGATTAGGTAAGGCAGCCGGTAAACAGTGCACGCCATTGTGCTCGCAACAGAGAGACCTCCTTTTGTTTGGTGTGGAGGTCAGAGAGACAATGCTAATGCTAACGTACAGAAGGGTGCCAGTCCGTAGGGCTAACAGAGGAACTGCAGACTTGGGTCAAGGTGGGAGAGGAAAGAGAGACTGTTGCTCAAACACACAAAAGCATCTCTTCATCGAAGGTCCAAGGAGACAAGCCAACTTTTTTTTTTCTTAAGTGTTTAACTCCACTGATTTCCAATATTGACACGGATGAAACTACAAGTGAGACCGCTTCTCTAATTAGGTCATGGCAAGCTTTCTGCATTTCTATTTTTGACGATGCCGCCTTAAAAAAGGCGACGCTTGGCTTTCCCCGAGAAGTGCTGTGGTAACTGTGTCAAACCCCCCCAAAAAAGCGCACTAATCACTGCCAGGCCTCCGCAAAACAGGTGGTGGATTGAGTGAAGGGGGCCGGGGTCGTTCTCAATTTACTGTGTAAATTATGCAGAGCCCAAAACAATGCAAACGGTAGACAGTGGAGTGGCTGGCGTTGGCTAATGAGATGATGAGAAGCCTGGGAGGGCCGGGGAGCCAGTGGAGGTGAGGGGGGGGGGGGGGGGCACGGCCGGCAGCTTGTGTCTGGATCTGTATGTTCGTGTGTGTGTGTGTGTGTGTGTGAGGGTCTAGAGCTCTGGCAGGGGAGCAGACACTGTCCCGTCTGCACAAACCCCATCGTCAGCACCCCTCCTTGCCCAGACTGAGTGCTGCAGAGGGAGGGGAGCAGGCAGCTGGGGCACCCTGCCCCCATTGCTCCAGCAAGAGCACCAGCCTTGGGAACCTCTGTGGCAGGGGTCCCCCCACCAACACTGGCACGTAGGGGCCCCCCAAAAGTCTGGCTGCCAAACCACCCTCCCAACACCACCTCCACCAACCCCTCCCACCCTAATGTGAGGCTGGGGGCCTGGGAAGGACTTCAAGTTCACGGCCAGACCTCCTATTGAGCTGACAGCCTGACTGTTTGCTCAATCCGGCTCCCCATTCAGAGCTGTGTAGGATGGGGGGGTGTAGAGAAAGGGCTTGTTGGGGGGCTAGATGGGACACCGTAGCACCGTGATAGCTATTCATTCAGCATGGGGGAGACAAGTAAAGAGCGAGGGGAGAGAGTGAAGAGGGAT